GTGCAGTTTGCAGTTAAGGCAGGCTTATCAGGTTTCAGCAACAAACCTACAATAAAAATCAAGCACTAAACTTTTGCATGCTAACACCATGTTTGTGTGTTTGCTTATGTAAAAGGAACTTTTAAAAAGTCCAACAGAAAAGTAACAGAATTCAGCTACAAATAAAGCTACACTGAATAAACAGTAAGAGAGAGAGAGAAGGCCCTGAACTGACAGGAAGAAGAACCTTTCATTATAAAGGTCAATGTATGTATGGTAAATTACACTCTAATTAATTTCCACTGTAATCACTGCGTATCAATCATCACCCTCTTAAGGTATGACATTATTATCTACCCTGGAATTACGGAAAACCTGACCTGATCTCTTAAAGAATTCTAAGTGATTATAACGAGCAAGAGTGGTGTTGTTGGATTTTATACAAATTAAGTCATAAGAAAAGCTATGACCTCTAAAACCCATAGCCCTAATCATCTTTACATACCAATCATCTTACAATCATCTTCACATGGTAACTTTACATACCAAATCAGCAATGATAAGAGTCTCACAGGATTACCAAGTGGGGCTGCTTAACTGCCTGCATATGTACTATATGTTACAACGCCATATGAATAAAGGGTAAGACTTTGAGCCAAAATTTTTTACAGACAATAAACACATCAATAATTCAGACCCTTAAAATGTTATTCTTTCTTCCTGCTGTTCTTCAGGTCATTAATTATCGTTCACCCAACTCCGATTTTAAAATGTCAGACTTTAACAGCTTTCCTCTTTCAGGGTTTCAAAAAATTCCGCGTTGGGTCTATCAGAGTTTCTGATCACGGCCGAATCAGGAACAAGTGCATCAAACAGTCCATCCTGAAACAAGAGGATATTAAAGTGAGCCAATATGCGGTAAGAAAGGACTGCAGTCACTTAGTGTGGGTCCAGGTGCTGGTCACGGTACATGCCCTGCTAACAGGCTTGCCTATCACGAAGGTATTCTGAGGGAATAAATAAAGCATGCCTGGATAACATGCTTGGGTAAATAAAGGCTGGCAGGGAGCCAGTGTCTCAGGCTGAGATTCAGACAAACCTCTAAGGCTTTGTTTAAATGATAGCTTCAACTCAAACAGCTGTTTTACTTCTGGGACCTTTTTCAATACTAGAAGTGAAAAATGCCCAATTTTAGCACTATTTTCCACCACGTCTAATATTAACACGTCCATATTAATCACTATTCATCTCTGTCTAGCTTTCCACTTCCTTTTTTTAAAATCAAGGCTGGTTTTGGAGCACCCCTGCCTTGCACATCTTAGTGTTTTCCCCTTCTGTAACACACTCACAGATGGAAAAAACAGTAAAACAATAAAGGGCACAGGACCAAGCAACATATTTTTCCCTAGCAATATAACAATTCCTGGGTGTTTAATACGATGGCGAATTAATACAGAATTTAACTGATGTGTATGGTCAAATGTGAGCATATCAAGTATTTCACAATGGCTCAGCCAATCACGAGTTTCAAACCATGGCTATCCATATTATGATCAGTAGTTTAGACTGACGATGGTAACTTCGCTATTAGAAGAGCAAATAATGAAGGGCACAGGTACCAAGCAAAGTTTAAACACCCACGGTCAAATTACATGTTTTGTTGATTTTCTAAGTGAAGATAAGTTAAAACATCCTCTACAGGGACTAAACTTAAATATGAAATATGCAAATTTTAGTGCACACTTTCTATTGATGTGCCGAGTTTAACATATTGGAAAAAAACATAATAACATAAAAAGAAACAATAACATAAACATAAAAAATAAAATGTGCAATACGTTTTGCATAATACACATTTTACATTTTTCCAATATGTAAAATTCAGCAAAGAAACAGTAATTGTGCATTAAAATGTACAGACATGTGTTCTCTGTATAGGATCTGTTTACTTATTTTCCTTTAGAAAATCAAGCAGACATGTAATTTGACCAAGTGCATTAATACAGAATTCAACTGATGTTTGTGGTCAAATGTGCAAGTATTTTTCTATGACTTTAAACACAGTTCAGCCAAGCAGACTTTAAAACTTTTATAACCACTGGTTTCGACCAGCAACGGAATCTTCACTTGACATTCTGTACCTCCTAAGCTGGGCCACTGAGAGAGTTCATGTTTTATGAGGGAACGGCTAACAAAACGAATGTATGCGCCCCTACCAACTGGTCACTGTTCAGCTCCTGTAGACTTACCTTCACACAGTCTCCTATAAATTTCCTTACATGCCTTTGTTGAAAAAGCTCAGTAGTGGAGCAGCATCTCTGGTATCTTCTTTGGATGTAAACTCACTGTTCAAGCAGTATTCTCCTGGCTCATGAGAGACTTTAAACAGCGAGGCTGTAAGATCTTTTTTTCACCCTAAATGTGCTTTAGAGAATCACATCTGCTGTGAATACAAGCAGCATGCGAAATTCTGCCTGTGTTTTAGTCCCGCTATATGGGTAATACGAAACAGGCTTGAGTGTCGGTCTGAAGTGTCTGGTCCACATTCTGGACCATCAGAGATATTTGGTAGAAATAACTCCTATTATTTTAGAAATGATGACAGTGATGCATTGCACTGCTTTGCTCCTTGGAGACTTTTAATGAGAATTAGCCCTCAGCTATTTCTCAAGTGCAGTACCAGTGTGTCTATTTTAACATGATATTGAGGAGCATGCAGACAATGGCATACAATGTCTGTTCTTATACCTTATTGACTTACCCTTTAATACACCTTTATTATACTATCAGTGACTGGCTTTAATTCTGGGTCAATCTGCATGTTGTGATAATATTCACACTCAATATGGCGAGGCGCACAGATTATCATATTCGTCATCTATTATTTAAATTCATCAGATAGCACACAAATTATTTATTAGCCCTTGGTTGAATGATATCTTGATCAATCCATAAAGAGAATGACTTGCAAATTATTTTCAGGGACTGAAGAGAAGACGCTTCTGTTTGCATCATTATGTGTTGCAGCTAAAGCCCTGCACTTGTCCACAAAGGGTCCGGACAATCAGGATTACAAATTTGGACACTGATCACAAAAGCATAATGGTTGACTGGTAGGCTCTTGAAAACACCAATAACAAATGAACCCAAACAATTTTCACAGAGGATGTCACAAAGACCAAATCAGTGATTCTGTAAAACAAGGCCCTCTTTTAGTACCTCTTTCAAAGCGTTAGCCTCTCTTAACTTCAGCTGCCTCTCACTAGCAAACTCATTCATCATCCCTGTCTGAAACGGAGGAGCAGAAAACTCCAGCTGTCGTATATGTCATGGCACTGAGGTTGCGCATCATGCCGGGGATGAGACGGGCTCTCTGAGGTTTCCCTTTAAGCCTGATGAAGCAAACAAAGCATACACTAACACGCACAGGCTACTGAGCCCACAGGGTAAGGCTCTTTATATGGAACAGGTTCTAGAGCAGTCTAAATCTGACCACGCTTGAGTGAGTAAATGATAATGTCAACCTTTAGGAAGCGCAATAAACAAAGATCAACTAGCACAGCAACACTAATAGAGTCGTTCTATGAGAAGAAATGATGTTTATAGACATACTGTAAAAATGCTGTTTAAAGCATATATACATATAGTTGTCAGTTGCATCATTTAGTAAGAACACATCCTAATATGACATTAATTATGTAATTTGCTGTAATTTCTAAAATTTGTCTCTGAAGTGTTGATCACACTTCACATTACGCACAATTCAAGAAGTGTCTATAAATCATGAATTAATTGGCTTCTTAGCTTCATATCACCACTGTGATTATAAATAATAACCTTTATTACAGTGTAAGCATACAATAATCAGATGTTGAGAGGTGAAATCTTTCCTGGACTTGAAATTGTTTTCTGCAAAAATGTTACTACCCGCTGAATTTGTTCTTGCACTTATGACTGTCTCTCTGGTACCTACTACACAAGACTTGTCGAAGGCAGGAGAAGTCAGTAAGACAGATATGCATCCATTTGTAAACGGATGATAAGATGAAGTTATGGAATTGTTTTATCATGACTGATTAATGTGAAAACCTCAGTTATGACACATGACTTCATTGTCAGGTCAGTATGCAGTATATAGTAGAGGCGTTTGGATCGCTGAACAAAACAGCACTTTTACTAGCAGATTTCCACAAAATTAAGCAAAGTAATGTATTCTGCATACAATTTACTGTCCGTGTCACTGGATATGGATCATTCTGACTGGCTGCATATGGATCATTCTCTAATCTTCCTTGCACTAACCAATAAATGGAGGAAACGTTAGACAGGAAAAAACTCAAATCTCAAAATCTACTGTAATATTGTCTTTGATGTGATCACAATTTAAGTTGTTTAAATTTTATTATTGTCATTACTGTTTTTCGTAGTACTAGTAGCAATGATATATCTTAATTATTACTGCTCATCAGTTGAGCTGGTCTCTACAAAGACAGGGAAAGTCCGTCTCTTTCCAGGAGACTGAGTTCTCAATCACTCTGTGATTCCAGCTCGTGGGGTGATGACATGGGCAGCACTGAGGTCTCTTTAAGACGAAGTTTAACCCGGTTATTTGCGCACATGAAGAGAGAACCACACGCACCAGTTAACCAGACAGAGCCCTGGCTGCCTCGGAACAGACATTTAAGTCCCCTAATCTACTTCAGAGCTCGAAGCCCAATACACCTGAGGAGGAGCTTGTTGACCCCCTAACAGCATGGCGGGGAAAAGCAGTACTCAGGCACGCCTCCATCCCTCTCTCCCTCCCTCCCTCACCCTGTTCTCCAGAAACGCAAGAGCATTTTAGATAAAAACCACACAAACGGCTATGAAAACCCCACTGGTAGCGCTTTAGCAAACCTCACAATGTAAAGACGCACAGCGGGTAAGTAGACCCGATGAGACTGTGACACCGCACACATACAGGAGAACGATGAACAAAACGGAGAATAAAACGGTGAAGAGGGCAAAAATAATCGTGTTACCTTCAGCCAGAAGGCGCATGGCGTGAACGAAAGAGGGGTCCAGGCTTTCCTTCTCGGCCATCAGCTCTGGCAAGTACTTGTCCTGATCCATTACCGGGCACCTCTCCTCTCCTGAGCACGGCGAGTGCAGGTGAGACGACAAAAAAGTGGCGAGAGACGGGACGTGCAGTCTGAATTCGCCTCAAATGTGTCGAGAACTGAAAGAGCGGTTGTCGTTTGAGCTGAATTTTCGTTAACGGCTCTTTAAATAACGGCAGCGTGGAAACAAACAAACAAAAAAACACTCATGTCCTCCTCGCGCTCGGTTTAAACGCAGGGCTCTCGGGCGAACGCTCCCCGCCTATAGCCACAGTATGAGCGCTCTGGCCCCGCCCCGCTCCGTCCTGATTGGCTGGGTCTCACAAGCGAATTCTGGAGAACGTCAAACACCTTCAGCACTGGCTAACGGTATCTAACGGTCCTCCGTTTAATGTCTCTGCCTCTGTAGAGTCAGACAGCCTCACTGTTAGGTATTCACTGGTACAGCTACTAAACGACAGATCTACTGTCTTAAATCCAACGTGAAAAGGAAACTATAACACGTTTATTCCATAACATATCATGTTTCCAAGTGAAACACTTGTTTCTGACTAGCTGAGCATTTTCGATGGTACACACTGAAAAGGTTCTTCAAGGGTTATTTAGTAGAGGCAGTGGTTCTATTTAGACCAATGTGTTTTCTATAAAAAACCATTCCATGCTTAAATGGTTCATTGCATGGTGAAATTGTTCTTCAGATTGATGGAGAATGAGTTGTATATGGTTCTAGATAGAACCTTTTTGAAAATGGTTGTGTATAGCACCAAAAGGATTCTGCTATTATGACAATGTCAGGCTTTTAACAATAGAAGAACCCTTTTTGGTACTATATGGATTCTATATATACTCTAAAAGGTTCTATATACCATTTACAGCACATTCTCCATCAGTCCGGTTCTATATAGAACTGGTCCTGTATAGGTTGCATACAAAAATGTTGACCCTTTTGTTCTAAATAGAACCATTGCCTTTACTAAAGAACCCATGAAGAACCATCTTTTTAGATTGTGGTGGGGCTGATTAGACAGGGACAGGAGGTATTATTGGTTAATATTATTTTTCTCCACCAACTGCTGGATGGTGACATAATCAAAAATAATAATAATATTTAATTATTAATTAATTATAGTTTTAATTGAACATTATGGAAAAACAAATTGTTTTATAAATAAAATGCAACCAAGGACATGAACTAAGGTAAAAAGGTTAACTTTGATTTCAGGTGGACAGAAGTTTTTTTAGTCTTTTCCATTAGCTATGAAACACCAGAAAGAGCTGCTTGGGTTTCTGTTACTGGAGAACATATAGATAGAGCTGGATACACATTGTTCTAACAACACTGTAAAATATCAATATTTCAGCATTATTGAAGCAAAAAAAATGGAAATGCCTTAAAGGCTTTTCTACAAAGTTTGTAGATAACAGAAGCTCATATACATATTTCATGTGAGTGAAGTGATGAGTTTTCATCAGCAAGCTGCCCTAACAAGCTATATTGGTATAGAGATCGTCCCTCACTTTATCTTGGAAACCACCTAATCAATTACCATCTTTGTTTGAATGTTCTCATCCTCAGAAGCCCAAAGAGTTTGCAGCAGTTTTGTTCTCTGCGCTGTGGATATCTGTAACTGCGCAAACCTCCAGCAAGAGACAAAACACAGCTAACGTTTAAGATAATGAGTTGGCTAAAATGATGAGTAAATACTAAAGTTTTCCACCTAATTTGAAAGTGTGGTCGTGGTTGCTCTTCGCATTGACTCAAGTGTCTTGCCAATTACAGATGGATTGAATCTACTAGGCGTGGGTTAAACATAAGGCAATAATCAATATAAAATGTACACCTATATAACCTATACACCTAAATATAACATGAGGAATGTTTGGGAGCTTAATTTGGGGAGCCAATTGTTTATTATTGTACAGACATCCAATATATGAGAAAAAGTGAGCTGATTACATAGAAAGGATAAACAAAGGTAAGCTAACAAATGAACCAAGGTGAAATCTGTCTTAAGGAAGACACTTGTTACATATTTATAGCAGGGCACAAAGTCAGCTCAATTTGTTGTGTCCGTGAATACTAATCAATGGTGTTCCTGTATGCTTCAGTTTGCCAAGATGGATTAGGCATTTGTGACAGGCAGTCTATAGAGAGAAAACATTCGCAAACAAACACACACACACACACACACACAGAAAGAGAGAGAGGTGGGGAAGTGGGGTAAGACAGAAGGAAGAGGAAGAAAGCCTGCTTGCCTAATTAATGACTGAATGGATTACTCTGCTGTTGGCAAACATCTGTACACCCAGTGTCACATTCAACGACTGCATGTTCATAGAGTATCGGTCCACTGGAACGTGGTGATCCAATGCCATGTACTAAAAAGTGTCATGAAGTGAAAATGCAAGCACCAGTGACCTTTGACATTTATCATTTGTTTTCCACAGTAAAAAGTAGTTCCTAGAGATATCCCAATGTAATAGATCTGAGTAGTCCTGCCTGTAATTCTGTATGATAAAATGATTCACAGTTACATCCCTGCATGGTCTATTGACTGTGACCTGATTTACTCCAAATAGATTCTTTGATGGCAACCTCAAAGAGTCTATTTAGGTTCTGATCAGTAAAGACCTTCAAAAAATGAATACATACAAAACTGAGCTGTGTTGTTTAAATCCTAGCAAACCTACAGTAGCTGTGCAAAGACCTCCGCATTGGTATATTTCAAGGCCCTTTTGAATGTATTGTCCTTATTCCATGATTAGTCATCTTCTACTGATTCTACTCTGATCACCGTAGATTATTTTTCTCAATTATACATACTGTCTTCAAGAGCTCCGGAAACTGCAATAGACTTGCCTGAAGCTCCCACAAATCATACCGGTACATTGTGGCATTAGTTTTAATTTATATGCTAACCCACAGAACTGTAGGCCGGCTCCTTAGGAGAACTTTCTCATTCTCAGTAAAAGAATTCTTCTTGATTAAAACAGCTGCTTAGGTAGCTGACACGTCCATGCAACTTGATAGGATTATGATTCTCATTGGAGTGAGTGTTTGGCAAATGGAATAATCAAACAGGGTTAGGACTGATGCATTGATTTATTTGTGTATTGAATAAGTAGGTAGTGTGGGAAAGAAGGAAAGATGTGGTGAATATCAAGCTTGTGGTGTACATGTTACATTGCTAAATGCTTATCTTGGTTTGAGAGCAACGGCTGTCAGTTTTAAGTAACTTCACATTATTAAATTGTGGTGACACTTTACATGGTGCATGGACCCTGCTGCATAACATTGGTATAACCATGTCATAACACGATGTCATATTTTGTTCACTAATATAACAGTATATGTTACCATCAGATGACATAATCTGTCATAATATCATGACATGTCACAGGCTAACTAAGGGCACTCTGTTGAGCCAACCACTATGATACAATTAACAGTAAATGTCACATGACATTGTGATATCACTGAAAATAATCTGTCATGACAACTCATGACAGCATATGACATCTGCCTTGACACATTTATGACATGGTTATGTCAATATTGTGTAGCAACATTCAAATAAATTGTTATCAAAATTGTTATTAAAGGGGAATTCCACAGATTTTTCTAATTTTCTGCATGATTCAGTCATTGAAATGTACACAAAGTCGAACATAGAGTAGTTTTATGTGAAATGGTATACAGACTCAGATTCTTTACAGTGGTGGTGGAACCAGGGGTTGCAATGTCTATAACACAAATACAGCCATTTTATTTACTAGCCAAAACACCAGTAAACCTACACGTGTCTTCTGTGGTTTTCATACGTAATGTTGATCATGAATCATGATTAATGTTAGTGTTGAATAGGCATTAATCTTAAAAAAAATCACATTTTCTGTTGGGACTGTTTTGCCTAGCAATGTTCTGACTGTACCTCTCCACCATGAGTGGATTTAAAAAATATTTTTTTATTTAACATTTTAGGCCAAATGTTTCTCTCAAAACTGAATGTAATAACTGTCTGTGAGGGAGCTTTTAGAGACATTAAACACTTCGGACATCTGGTTCAAACCACTCTAAATGTCTTAATTTACGCCTTAACCATTTAACTATGCATTTTGAAAAATCAGTGCAATTCCTCTTTAAAACCAACATAACCTCACTTTGACATAGAATATATTTTATTTTTTCTCTCATAAATACAAGAGGCTTCTATTCAGACACCTCTTGGTGCAGTGAGCACCCTTCTAATGAAACTGCTCTCCTCCATCGATGGCTTATTTGGGCAACGTCCTCTGGTTACTTGTTAATCTGGTTTGATAGCTGGAAAGGGTGAATGTTTTTGAAGGCTCGGTTGTCATATAGATATGGATGGCTAACAATGTCTTAAGTTCATTTCAAGGTCTCCTTTAATGAGGTTGAAAAAGTGACTTTGGGCCTTAATCAGTCCGAGTTCCTAATGTTCCATTTCTAAGAAGAACATTTTAAACATTTAGAATGGTACATTATACCACAGAGCATTTTGTCCATCATCTCATTATCTCCAAAAGTAGCCTGCAGCTGGAGATGTCCCATAATAGGCTGTCAGATTTCTCTGCCTTTGGATCAAGATAGTACATGATGATTTGTTGTTAAGATGTGCAATTAAAAGGAATTTCAGAGCCTTGACACTATTTACTGATTGCCTAGATTAATTTGCTTTTCTACATGAAGAATTTGAATGGATTTTTACAGCACTCTAGTGGTCACAATCAAAACTGCAGGCTGCATGTGTGTTCACCACTAATAGCTGGTTAATTCTGCACAAGATTCTGCTTCTGCTTTTCTTATGAGACAAATCTGTTTTTAATACACAATATTTCTGTGATTTAAAGGGGAAGTCCACTGATTTTCCAAAAGTCTGCATAATTCAATCACTGAGGTGTACACAATGTCAGAGTGCTCTGATGTGAAATGATAGACTGTAGAGAAACGTACTGACACAGATTTCTTTACAGTGGTGGTGAAAGGAGCCAGGGGTCACAATGTCTGCAGTGCAAATATAGGCATTTTATTTGCCACCCAAAATGACCAGTGAACCTATAGGTGTCTGACTTTTTGTATGTAATGTGAATGAGAGTAAAACAGTAGTAAATCTAAAAAGGCCAAAAGCTGATCACAGAACTATCATAAAACAATGCCTCAGGCATCAGGTAACATATTCATATCCATTTCATGGAAATGCTCCCTGTGAAGTAGCTTTTAGAGCC